AGAAAAACATAGAAATGACACTTGGAAATGTTAAAATAGTCTCTGGATCAGAAAGGATAACGTTTCAAGTAGGTTTCTAGAAAAGCTACTGTGATTTAAAGAGTAGTAGTGTTTAAAGAGTAGTGGTGACTCAATTTAGCGAGATTAACGTTATTGGTGTTATGTTGATATGTCAGTTACTTTGAGAACGGATGATGTAGAAATTACTTTCAAGTTGTGTATAGAGTTTTGATATTCAACCATTGACGTGTTCATGCTTTTCTTTCCTTAATCGGTTACGTATGATGTCTTTTGTATTGTCAGCTACTTCTTCTAAGTAATGAATGAAAGATTTTCCAGTCACGTTCATCCTTCCAGCGGTAAATCTTTTAGTTAGGAAATGCTGATAAATCAAGCCAAAAGTCTTTTTCACACAGATATAGAAAAGTGCTGATCATAAGTCGCAATGCTTTTGATATAAAGAGTGTGTCGTATATCGATATAATTTTGTTGGTAATTTCTTTTACTGTTTATAAATTTGACACAAAGGATCTGCTGGTAAACCAAATCCAAGAAATGTAGCCACTAACACACGCATACATACACGTACTAGCGCGCGCATCACCCAAAATTCAAAGGAATCTTTTCGTCTTGTGAAATTAGTTCTTTTTAAATCATTTGCTAATTCACTAAGTATTGAATGCTTTCATTGACTTCGCCTCTTGGAAATGGGTGCAACACTGATAACAAAAGTCGAGGCATAGTATGTCCTATACCGTTTACAAACAAGAGTCTTACATTGTTTTGGAATAAAACTTCTCTCTTCGACTAGTTGCTAATTGGCTTATCACATTGAGTCTGTGTGCTGAATTTATTATTCTCAATCAAAGTCTCGGGTCACAATGATTTTTTAGGGGGGATTATCTATACTAGAGCCTTACGTTACACTTAAAATAAAGTGTTGTGATCGAGAACTCGCACCAGTTTCTGGAAGCCGATGTTTCTATTGGTCGACGTACGTTTTCATGATTTGATAAACGTACACTGTTGTTGTTAATTGGGAGTTTGACGCAATGTACTTTTGTGAGGATCCAACGTAGAGACGTGATAGTATCGATCTTCACCTTAATTAAATGATTATTTCTTAAGACGTCAAATTGGAAATATAGTTTAGTGTAAATCCTTTTACTTTGCATTTTTTATGAAGTTGTCCGTTTTTTGTCGAGGTACTGGTAGCAGTAATTGTTAGGTTCACCTTTGGTAAAACTTGTAGCAGTGTCGGCCAAAGCTCCCAACTGATCAAGTAAATTGCTACTGTGTCTGGAGAAAGGACAGTAGGCTGCAGAATGTACCCAACGTCAATGAAAAAGAACTTCTGAGCAAGAGTAAAGGGAGATAAAATTAATTATACCTGTTAGCAATGCAAAGAAAATATACATTGGTTTTTAGAGTATCTGAAGAAAAATCTGAACAAGAAGAAACTGAGTTCGGTTGAGAAAAACAACAACAAGAACACATTCCCGTAAAGTACACCAAAAGGCGAAACAAGCAGAAGAATACCTCATACCAGTGCAGAAACTCAAAAAAGAAAGACAGTTAATAAAGAAAGAACAAACTGAAGGTTTGTGAAGTGTTTCTAAATTTCATAGTGATTATTATACACGAGATTATAAAAACTGATATGAGTATCTTTATTTATATTTGTTATTTAGAATGAATAAAATACTTAAATACACCTATGGGTCAAAAAGCACTGGTGTTGTGAATATGAATATTTGTGTGTTGGATAGGAAATGAATGATGTTGGATTGTAGATGAATGGGTATTAGTCACTCTACTCCTTTCATTTCTTAGTAAATGGGGTGCTGATCACTCAAAATGCTTTGAAATAATTTGAATTTTTATTCATATCATTCAGAATTAGATGAAAAATAAATTAAATTTTAAAATTTGTGTTAACTGTTGTAATTCATTTGTTTTGCAATTTTTATTTTAATTTTCATTACATTTTTTTTTAGACTTCTATGAATCCATAGCATTTGGTTATTTTTCAATGTATAAAATCATGACATTTTTAATTTGTCACCTTTAAGTTTTGTTTATACAATGTGTCAGCATATTTAAAATAAATGTGTACATTTGGTTCAAAAAAATGCTAATTTCAGTATTAGTTTTAAAGTTTTATTATTACTTATAGTCTCTATCTTACTTTTTAAATTTGTCGGATGTTCTCAAGTCCGTGATAGTTGTAGAATTTTAGTAAAACTTTAATTAAGTTTATTTTTGCGTTATTACGTGCTGGTTCATTGACTAAAGAGATTTATAACATCGATTTATGATATGCGCATTTAATGACACCTCCAAAATGTCTAAAACAAAGGTCATGCCTTATGTATAAATTTCGAATATTTGCATTTGGCCACTAGATAGTATTGCGATAGCATGTTGATGGCATAGTGTGGGCATTGATCACTGCGCACATCTTATTAATGGTATGTTACATGGTAATGGTAATTACAGGCGTCCTGTTGGATAGTAAATATGAGGCGCTGGTCACCGTATTGGGTTGTAAGTGTGGTATTGGTCACTACCCATGACATTTAGATAATAGAGTGAGGGATGTTGGATAATATACGACTGCGTGTTGTGACAACAATCGTCTAGTTTGATAGTGTGGGTATTGGAAACTACACAAGTCGTGGCGGGAAGTAAGTGTACTAGAGTGTTGAATAGTAGATTGCTGAGTGTTGGTTAGTACACATTGCATGTTGGATAGCTTGTGTTGGTATTGGTCATTACACTAGTCGTGACGGACAACAAGTTTGGGAAATTGGTCACTACCCATGGTGTATTGATGGCAAAAATTGGAATGCCGGATAGTATATGATGGGGTGTTGTTGCCACACGTGGCATATTGGACAGAGCTTTGTATTGGTCACTACAAATGTCATATTGTGTAGTAAGTCTGGAATGTTGATTACTACACACAAGGTGCTGGTGATAGAAATTGGGATTTTGGATAGTAAATGACTGGGTGCTGTTCACTACACACAGCGTGTTGGGTAATAAACGTGTAGTATTAATTACTGCGCACGATTTGTTGGTAAGTACCTGTGAGGTATTGTTCACTCCAGACAGCGTATTGATGGTATAAAATGCAGTGTTAAAAAATAGATGGCTGTGTGTTGATAATTACAAATGGTATGTTGACGGTATGGCCTTATGTATTGATCACTGCACATGGATTATTGGATGAAATAGTGCGAGGTGTTAGAATTGTAAAACACTAGTATTTGTCACTGAACACAGTATTTTAAACTATATATAAAAAGGTGCTTTATAGTAGATAACTAGCACTGGATATATCACTTGGTGTTTAATATAGGACAACAATGAGGTGCACAACTTTCAACAGTGTAATACTGAGTATTGAATACGGGATCATTATGAGGTCAACCACTTCTAACAGTCAAAAGTAATCTCAGTGTTAAATTCACATTTCTCTCCAATGTGTCTCCCAATTTAAAACTACATCGCAATTTTGATCCTCGCTTGTTCTACAGAGTGCTCCAAATTACTGTTTAAGATAACAATGTTAAGAGCGGGGAATTTAACTCTAAAAGCAAACACAGCAGGATGAAAGCATATTTTCTTTATGAGAGAGAGAGAGAGAGAGAGAGAGAGAGAGAGAGAGAGAGAGAGAGAGAGAGAGAGAGAGAGAGAGAGAGAGAGAGAGAGAGAGAGAGAGAGAGAGAGAGAGAGAGAGAGAGAGAGAGAGAGAATTTAGACTCGTATATGGACAATCATTATTTAAGTCGGGTCATGTCAAATTTAGCAATGTTTCTTAGTAAGATCTCAATGGTTATAGAAAATGTAATGCAAAATATGTCAAATATATCTTGTCCGTATAAATACTAATCTATGTAGTGAACAATGTCCTATTTCTCCCGTGCTTTGTAATATATGAATCTACAAGTTATGACAATGTTTTATCTATGTCACTATTGTCGGGCAAAACACTGCATATACCACGTGGAACAATATGTTGTTTCAGTGTGTGACAGAAGAACATTGTGTCTAATATATAGTCTCAACTGAAGAAATTAATCATAAATTAGACGAAGACATGTATGGTCGGGTTAATCAAGGTGTAAGGGAGATAAATCATTATGGAATAAAAACATCTACGTCAGATGATTTGGTTAGGGATCGATAATGGTAGATGTAGATCAGATAACAACAGAAGAATATTGACATGTAAATTATGTTCTGGTTGACATATGTGCTGTAAATATGTCGTCCTTAGATATATATGATAGAATGTAATATATACATGTACCCATTGTATTTTCTCTTGAATAATTTGGCAAATTAGAACAGAAAGCTCTAAGTTGACTTTGGAGGTGGTGTAGTTGATACATATGAAACAAATAAAATAATTGCTTCATTTTATCCAAAGTCTTAAGGATCTATTATGTCAGAATATGCATGCGATTTAAATGATGATGGAGGTAAAGTAGTTGACAAATATATATGGAACAAAGAAAAATGGTTTTATTTTATTCAGAATATTAAGGATCTATTATCTCATAATGTGCAAGCGATTTAAATGAAATTAATTATAACAAATTCTTTGGATGTGTCGAAACCATTGCTGGTATTTCCCGTTTCCAAATAAATACCCAGTCAATAAAAAACAAAATCTAGCTATGACATCTCCAAGACACTTCTTCAAGGTCTGTCTTTAACAGAGATTGTATAGCCGCTTAAAGCAAAGCAGAATCCAAGTCACTATATAATCATTTGAAGACTGTACATTCCAGCAGTATACTCTAAAAGATTTTTGACGCCTTGAAAAGAATACTGTCCCTCGTGCAGATCATGCACAAGTCAGTATCACGTCTGCAGCTTTGTATGAATATTTTTTTTTAATTATTGTTGCAGTTTTCCTGTTCTTTTGATCTGTTAAAGGAAAATGGAAAAATTTAAATTTAAGTTCATGATACTCTTGAAAGAATAATCACTCCGATGGCCTAGTGGTTAAAGCGCCCTTCTCGTATGCGGGAGGTCGCGAGTTCGAACCCCAGTCGAGTCATACCAAAGACTTCTAAAAATGGTATTTACAGCTGCCTCGCTTGGCGTTTACATTAAAAGGTCAGTGTTAGGACTGGTCGGCCTGGTGTCAGGATAATGTGATTGGGTGGGACATCAAGCTACATGTCACATCCAGTTATCGTAGCAATATGACTGATTTTTTTGTAAAGCTACGTTAAAAATCCAAAACACGCACACACACACACACACACACACACACACACCAAGACAAGGAGGTATACTTATCACTAACTAAACTGAATCGTGGCAAAACTGCGGAAGTCGAATGTTTATTCAGAGATTTCTGTCGCCGAGTCTCAGTGGTTTGCGCGCTAAACTCACGATCGATAGTGAAAAGGTTCGAATCCTTCCATCGGACCATCTTAAGTCGGCAAACATGGTGTATTCTTAGGCAGTTCGCATCACCACTAAGTAACCCCCTTGTGTTGCTGTGCCGCAAAGCACAGTACATTATTTATAGGTACGGGAAACTTCATTACACCATTATTAACAACATTATTTAGTAAACTATCAGATATTGGATATTATCCAGAACAATAGTCAACAGCTATAATTACATCAATTCTGAATAATGTGAATGCAAATGAACTCTCCAATTACACAGGCAATTAGTTTCCTACCTGCACTAAGCAGAGATTTTCCATATATTTTAAATACATGTAATATGATATATGAATGCGTAGATGAAAATGAATTATTTAGCGAACAAGCCCGTATAAAGCGGGTAATTCTATAGTAGATAATGTGTTTACATTGTATACATCAACCCGTAAAAATAATTATAAACAACACAGGTGTGGATTCTAAACAGTATTTATAGCTCTTGATAGGGTGGGGAGAAATTTGCTACGCCAGAAGCTAATTAGTAGCAAACGTGAGTTTTGACACAATCATTAGAACTGTTTTGCAGTCGTAGACAGACGATTGAACTAAATTAATTTTCATTGTTGACACTGCTAAAATTTGCACAACCAAATGCAAAAACATTGCTTTAAGTGAAAATAAAAATAAATTTGGAACAACCAAGAATGATTGCATTTAGTAGAGGAAGCTGTCTCAGAAATTCGTATAATTGGTAATTTCGTGTGTGTGTGTGTATATATATATATATATATATATATATATATACATATTTATATATATATATATATATATATATATATATATATATATATATATATATATATATATATATATATATATATATATATATATACACACACACACACGAAATAACCAATTATATATGATTTTTATCTTCTTCTTTAGTGAGAGGGCCATGAAAAGAAAAGTATTTCCAACAATAATTGATCATAGATCATAGATCGTCGTCGTCGTCGTAGTAGTAGTAGTAGTAGCAGAAGTAGATATAGTAGTAGTTGCAGTAGCAGTAATAATAGTAATAGTAGCAGTAATAATAGTAATAGTAGTATTAGTAGTAGTAGTAGTAGCAGCAGCAGCAGCAGCAGTAGTAGTAGCATACTTTAAATTTATTTCTTCTAATTTTTTTCTTTACCTTTTCTACATATGCTTTGAATTTCAGAAACAAGCTTTAGAATTTCCAGCAACCTGGACCCTTAGTAAACTCTGACGGTAAAGTCGGAAAACGTTCAGACGTACAGCTGAAACATATGTGTTTATTTCTAACATCAATAAAACTTAAACTGTATTTATTTAGTAAGAAAAAGTTCGGAGAGTGCAGTAAATCGATGTGCTACAGTAATATTTTGTGGTCGGCTATTGATCAAGTTTATTTCTACTAAAATATATGACGTTTACCGTACTCTGCTGAGTGATTTCATCCTTGTTTCAGTCATCTGACAATTAAATATTTTCATTCCGGGTATCCTTATCCAAATCTTATAATTTCGTCTGCAGTTATGGATTCTTACAAGTCTTCCATTTTATCGTCTATGATTATTTTATTTTCTGTCTAGAGTTTATATATTATTTCTGTTGAATGCCTATTCTTCTGCAGATCATTCAGATACTAAACATTTGTTTTATCTGTTTAACACATTTGTTTCATTCTATTTTATATTATCATCGTTTTTATGATCTTTACTATTATTAATTATTTTTCAAAATATATTTGCACTCTCTTATCTATCAATACCGGAGGACTCGAGCTCTGAAGTTTATGGTTTGTCTAGCAGTCTTTGGACGATGGGATTCTCTGCTTTTTTCTGTAGCAGTTTAGGGACGTCGCTTCACTTTATTCAATTACACACTTGACATCATAGGAGATAATGCGAACAATTTAAAATTTATCGCGATCTGACTACATTTCAATTTCTACCCATTGTATTTGTCTGTGCTTTCATTTCCTCACCAATGCGCCAGGTGCTCATTTTAGTAATGAGTTTTCCGAAATCAAGACTATAGCAGGATTTTAATTACATCAATACATTTTCTTTTCTTGGTAGAGGGGAATATTTCATTTAAAATTTGGACAATATCTCTAATTAATTATTTTATTAAAATCTTACTTTCCTTTTCAAACAGTTCTGGCCAGCCAAATCCACATACCTACCTATATGCACACACACACACGCACACACACACACACACACACACACACACACACACACACACACACACACACACACACACACACACTACTTTATGTTGTCAGCCATTCCCGGATTGGTTCCCATTCTTCTATATTATTAGTAACGTGAGTTCTGTATAAAACCTTACAGGACTACGAGATAGCTCATAGCTGGTGGTCTCCGATTAAATTAATTCGTTACCATAACACCCATCACCTAACATTTTACTGCTATTTCATTCAAACATTTCTCAGGATATAAGTTATTCGAGGACATCATGATTCTTCATTTATTAGCGCTTGTGTACCTAAATAAACTGGCTTGGGGAACATTTTTTCAAACAAAAATGATAACTTAATTCCATTTCTAGACACGATGAAACATCAGTATTTCGTTTTCTATATCTAACCATATATTAAGTATATAAAATAGAGCAATTAGGTACCATTTGTGATAGACAATGAAAGCAGAAAGCACTTAATAATAATAATAATAATAATAATAATAATAATAATAATAATAATAATAATAATAATAATAATAATAATACAATCTGTTATTATATCGTCACTTTTTAGGATGTATTTCGATTTTCCAGATATATCCATTGATCTGTCAATCCTCTTAACCTGGGCTTCGTTTTCTCTGATTGAATAAAGATGATCCTACTGCGTGTCATGTTTCACAAGGATCTGTAGGTGACAAGGAAGAATCATTGATGCCGCCGGTTTGGCGAGAATTGCTTAATTGGGATAAAAGAATATAACATTTTTCATTGGTAATGGGATTTCTTGTAACCTGAACTTTGCCTACCTCTTCAAGGTAAAATGTGCTTTAGCAGTGTAAATATATATAACGTGTACAATTTTAAAATTACCTGGTGCCTTTGGTACATGTGGTTCACATTTGCAAATTCAAAACATATAGTACATGTAACATAACAAAAGGAAGAAATTGCTTCGCTTTTAAAGAAATATTGTAAGGTGTATTTTACCAATAGCGCTAATCGAAGAAATGAAAATGTATAATTCAGTATTTTCCTTTACAAAGGAATAATGTTTGTTTGAACAAAGTAACCTTGAAAATATGAAAAACTGTTGTTACCACCAAAACCAAAGATATATTTCTCTGTCGACACCCAGAATAATAGAGGTTGGAAATTAACTATATGCATATATTTACCCGGGCGCCGACAACTTTACACTTGATTCTTTAAGTGTTTTGAAAACAGCTGAAAGCCATTGTGAAAATTGCAAACTGATACCGCCTTTTCAATCTCCTTCATCTCAAATTATCCACAGTGTCAATATATTAAATACAGGCATAATGTAGGGTTCTCCAAGATCATAAAACATGCACTCTATTGTGTAGAAAGCAGTGCTTACTTCATCTATTCCGTACGTAAACATTTCGTGTCAAGTCCTTGTCTTCGTGGTGGAAACATACTTCTAACCGTATCATATGTAAGACAATTTCGCATAGGACCACACATCAGGGTTTGTGGGTCTTAGGAATCTTGGATATTTTATTTTGCAACAAGAATAATATTCCTGAATGTAAAGAAAAGACAAGTTCATAACGATCAGTAGTGTACTAGTATTTCTTATTCTATTTCTTCTGAAAATAGAGACTTTTGCCGGGTGTGAATATTCCTGTACTGTTAGTGTCCGTGTCGAATTATCAGTTTTTGGATCATATAAAAGAAAGACAAGCAAGTAGACCTGCTGAGCTAAATGAAGTTTGTTGCATCTTTTTTTCCGTTTTCGTTGATTTTTTGTTATTATTTTGAAATAAAATTTGACTGGCCGAGGCTGCAAAAAGTTTACGGACTGTAGCTTCTGTCAGTTTGCCTGTTGTCCCAAAACTTTACAGCCAAACTGTAACTGCTAGGACCATCTTAGCACGAGCGTCATTGCATACCCATGTGAATGTTATTGTTATTAAACGCATACTACTTTATAGGGGATTTCCAAAAGGAATGTAATAATACTAGACACTTTTACAGAACTTAGTGATAGTTCTTTTACCTACAGATGTCGATATTTGAAAGAAAAACTGTGTTTGTTTCGGTTAGCTTTAAGAGAACATATAGTACATTAAGAGCACATAAATTAAAAATAAAAATATACAGGTGGGGCATCGAAATCTGATTTGGACCGTGCACTGTTAATGTATAGTTCTTCTCAGTTCGTGGATAATGCTGGTTAAGCTATGGACATGTAAAGTCTGTTACAAATAACAGCTGATGCAGGTTTATGTCTTCTCGTCAACCTTAGACTATTCACTGTTAATAGAGTCGACAAGGAGGTAAGACTGTCAATAAGTTATACTTTTGAGTGAGAGTGGCACGGATCTGTTCAATTTACCTAAAATAGATATTTCATATTGCATGAAAACTCCGAACAGTATTTGTAACAGTCAAATTGAC